TATATACATGTAAATATTTTCAAAATATATACTGTGTGTGTGTATTTATATATACAAAATAAATATAGTGTACACAGCACACACATATTATGTAAACAAAAACTTTTATTTTGGATGCAATTAATCGCGATTAATCATTTGACAGCACTAATATACTGTATGTATGTGTGTGTATTCAGAATTTTAAATTATTCATTTTTGAGAATACAATTGTATCTATATTGAATATAATTTATATATTTATGTATGATATTATTCACAAAAAACTGAATAATTTAAAATTCTGAATTATGATAAAATATTATAGCATTTACAAAATATTTCTTTTAGAACAGTATTCTCAGTATCACTGGGTGCCTTATAATATAGAATGTGGAGTTATTATGAGAATATGGAATATCACATGTAAATGAGGGGGAAAAAATCCCATTCCACAAGACTTAAAAAAAAAACAAAAAAAAAACATTGAAGAACAAAATACTTTTCATTTGTACATTTATGGCAGATTTGTTTAATCATATACAAAAATGTTTTTTTTTTGGCATGTTAACATACTTCCCAAACTTATGCAACTAAAGACAACTAAACATCACTGGAAAGTCGAAACACTGTCTGGTGCTGTTAAAACATTGATCAACCAATCGAGTGAGATTGGGGCGGGGCAGTGTGTTTAGCCAGCCAATGACAGGATAGGGGCGTGTCTAAGCATCCTATTTGAAAACGGTCATTATTTGATCAGTTTCATTAAGTGATGCTGCTGGTGCAGAAGTTACATGCATCATCTTGAGGCTGTGTTGTGTTTAGTGTGTCACACTGGCTAATATCACTGCATGAACTCAAAACTGTGTGAATGCTGTTCAGACTGACAGGGTTATGTAATAACTACTCGACTGCTCATTTATTACTGGTCAGTGCTGATTCTGACATCTATAGAGCACGATGGGCTCCTGGATATATTACAGTGTAATGGAAGCAAACAACAGATACTTATTTTACATTATACTTAAAATT